CTCTGGGATAGCTGCTGTGCAGACATAGAAACACAACAGTCATCAAGCGTGGCTCTGCCATCACCACCTTTGCAAGCCCTGTCACCTCCCAACCCTCCACAGTTGATGCCTTCAGCTACCCACCAGCCCAGGGGTCACTACCTCTGCCTGCCTGCTCCTGCACAGCTGCAAAAAACCAGTTGCCTCCAAATATCCTTCCGATAGCTGATCAACAGGGGGGCAATCACCGCTCTGGGAAAGTGCCTTCAAACATCTGTGCTGATTGCACCACTCTCAGAGGAAGATGAGTAACTCTGCTTCACCCCCAATCAGCCAGCACCAAAATCACCTGAGAACTGATTCGGCAGGTAAACTTCTGATGTACATAAACTAGCTACCTGTGTCAATTAGTTTTGATTATATCCAGAATAAAAGACCTGCGAACACGAGGTTTTTCTGCAGCCTTTGTTTTCTGTAAGAAATTCTCATTTCTCTTGGCTGAGCAAGAGCTCGGCTGAATCACAACACAAGTAAGGAATGAACAATCAGCAAGAAGAGATACTGTTTTGTAAACGCACTGAGGTATGTTCAGCAAAGTTGATTAAGGGAAGAATAATCCAATAAACATCAATACTTAAGACAGCAGCAGGACTTGAACATTCCAGAGTTGTTTTACAAAAAAAAGATATCCAAGTATTTTCTCTGGCAGCAATTCCTTTCTAAAACCAGAAAACCATACCCCAACTTACCCTCCCTCTAGCCCTCCGTTTCAAAGCTCTTCCTCAGAAGGCGGCAAGGGTGAAGAAAGATTTCACTGAGCTTTCCTCCATTATTTTGTCCACCTTTAACAGCTGTAATCTTGTCCGTACCTTGTAGCTGGCTAAAACCAGCTGTACTCCTTTTGATGTCTCTTCAAGTAGCAGCATGCACTGATTCTTGGAAAGGAGAGCCTCGCAGCCTCCTGAACTCATTAGTCGCCTTTTCAGCTTGGCTCTCATTCACTGCAGTTTTTCTTTTTTTTTTTTTAAACTCAAATATTTAATTAATTTGTGATTCAGCTCTAAAAGTAGCTGAAAAAATATCAGGCTCTGCAAATCAATTACATCCATAGTTACCACTCCGCAGCCCCCCTGGTCACTAGCACGACCTCACCACCCCAAGTGTATCTGGGTCTCATTAGCTTAACATGTCAACATCCCCCCCGCCTCTTCCAGTAGCATGGGCTCCAGAGCCTTTAAAGGCATAAAAATAAGCACTACTTGCTTCTCACTGAGAACATATTGGGCTGAAGGTGAGGATGAATACAAAGACAAGTGACAGAAGGTGCCCTTTACACAGTGACTTTATTCATTTCCTACGCAAACCCCAATGGTGACCCCTGCTATATACAGTAAGCAACTAAAATTGAAGTTATGATAAAACTCACCTCTGTCAGCGCAGGAAGAAGGAAAGCGTAGACTGGGGCAGATAAGAAATTGTTTGGCCAAACCCCAAGACACAGCGACTTCAGTGGCACACCCTCAAGTTTTACAGCATTTTAGGATCTGGCCCTCAACCTTGGTTGAGTACCGCCTGCTAAGGCAGAGACCACCATTAGGAGACTTGAAATTGGCCAAACAGACTTGAAACTGGGCATTTTCCAGCTCATGAAAATGCTCAGCAACATTTCCTCAAGGACCCATTCAGACAGCACCAGCTGAACCGAGGCAAACCAATAACCATCGCTCCTTTAGTGGCACCAAACCACCGCTCTGGAAACCAGCACAGAAATTCACAGAGCAACTGCTTTCATTTCTCTTATTAACTAGTACACCAATTTATTCTGGTGAATAATGAACCTTAACACTGGTCTTTTATAAACATGTCCCAAAATAGTCACAATTTACTTCTAGCTGTCCCATAGCAGTTGCTGATAAATGGGCCATGTTGCCAAAGGAGGTGTAAAAATCCAAGTAGTTTGAGTTCTTTACAGTAACTGCTACCTAGCTGCCTATATTAATTGAGAGAGCGAGCACATTATATAAGGAGATTAGACCATGTCATATTTACAACCTCAGTGTCCCCAGTGAGAGAAATTGCTCAGCTGTTACTGTCAGTGCCTTCTTCAAACAGGAACCCTGCTGACAAGATGATGAATTCAGAACATCGTTGCCAATTAATGATTTGTAGGCAGAAGGGATTTCAATAGTTCCCATATGTTTGTGAGGCTGACTGGGATTTACATCACTTCTAATAAGAGAGTATAGTCTGCTCTGTCCAGACGTGACACTAGAGCTTGGAAAATGTCATCTTTCAGGAGAAATTTTAACAAACAAAGCCCAGCTCTTCTGGGCTGAAAATGTTTCCCCAAGTGCAGTCACTAATAACCTGCTTATGCCTAAGTGAAAGCAAGCAGGGAGACTGCTTGCAAGATGTGCCTAAGAGATTTACAAACCAAAGGTCAGAAGTTATTTAGGCGTTTGTCAAAGCTACACCACAGAGTGCCAAGACCATCATTATGTCAGCCAAGAGCATGGAGTGCATTTCCTAAATACCAGTCAGATCCCGGGGGGGTGGGAAGGGAAAGCATCTACAAGCACATAGGACCTTTCTTGGTGTTAATTATTCTGCTTATGGGCTTCAAAGTTTAACGTTACTGTCCTAGAATAGATCTCATCCTTGTGAATATAACAATATCCAAACCAGAAAGTGTTTTACTCACACAGGATATCAGCATGAACTCCATACATGCTGGATGCAGCCCTCCTGAATGGCCTAAGGCTGAATGTCTCCTATCGACTGAGCATCTCGGAGCCAACCAGCAGGAAACGCAGGAAACGCTTGGCACGATGACCCGGGTTAAACACAGGACATCCAAATGGGGCCCTCCAACAGACTTTGCCGCAGGCACTGGGATCCCAACATCCCATTGATTTGGTGATAGAATTTGGGGCTTCCCTACCAACAAGAATTATGGGCTTTAACAGCTGTAAGAGCAGTTAAAGTGATAAACTCCTGCCGAGGGTGCAGGCTGCAGGTGAAGTTTAAGAGTAGTTTATGTGGGCATGCCTTATGACAGAATGGCAAGGTTATGTCGCCACAAAGCATCTTTATACTTCCAAACTGTGATCACAGTCCTACCCAACATAGTCATAAATTGCGGCGCCAGACACTGTGCTCTCAATTAAGTAAGAAAAGTAAATTTAAAAAAAATCCACACCCCAAAATGGAAAGCAGAACCTCAAATCACTAAGGTCTTCTGAAAGCACAACCCAGATTGCTATCTCAGAACTACCAGAGATCCAACTGTTCTAATGGGCACAGTAGTCTCAGGTTTCTAATTTAACACAGTCCATTTTTTTGGTTTGGTGTTCTTTGGGTTTTTGAGATCTTTAAGAGTGCTTTGAGATATCCCACGCTGCTCATGCAGTGTGTGAGGGCAGGATTTGAAAGGTGACTAATGGATGCACCCCTTTCCTCCAAAAATTCTTATAGGTTACTGAAGTCAGTGTCTAGACATAGCACCCAACCAGTGCATGTTGTTTTGGGACGTGGTATTTTTAGCCATAATGAAGCAGATCCTTGCTGATCTGTATGACCCCCACCCATCCCTCATCTGGGACAGTCTAGATTTCCTCAGCTTGGGCTAATGTTGATCTTAGCTCCCCTTGTGCAGTATCAAACATCAAGTCTGACTCTTCTTCCTGCCTAAGAAATCTTTAGTGGCACAGGAATAGCAAAACCAAGACAGATTTTGCTGTATTGACTACATCTGCAAAAAAAAAAGACTATCCTGGTCAAAAAGCATACTCCACATGCTGTTTACTAGAGGTTTCTCCAAAACCAAACATACCTATATTTTCTCTCCCACTGAACCCTTGAAGAGACTTGAACTATATAATCTTCAGGGGCACAGTGTGTGACCGAGGACTAAAGGATCAAGGCTACAGTTTGCTTTGGATACGCACTGATCTATCTTTTGCACCAACGCTATGAACACCGATAACGAGTGTCTGGAATACGGTGAAGAGAAAATGCAACATCGACTTTGGTTGGAACAGAATTCCTTTGCCTTCCCCACAGGTTATCCATTACTAAGTGGCGGCAAGTACAGGCAATTAAGACAGGACTGATGACTAACATAATAATTTTGCAAAAAGCAAATGGCATTAAAATCTTTTTTTCCTTTCCCCATCTCTTTTATGTCCAAATAGGTTTTAAGCAACCTATTACATATTTACAATGGAAGGGCAATTTTTTGAACAAGAATGTAATACAGCAAATCATAAAATGAGATTATACACTCTTAGTGTATGATGTGCTTCTTTAAAAGTATTCTTTTTTACATCTTGAACTTCAGATACCCTAGATCTCTTGCACAAGGACCCTGATGATTCAGGAGACCTATGTTGACCAGTAACTCAAGAACCTCAGCCAGCTACCCATGTGAAAACTTCAGCACATATGGAAGCATTTTTATCAGTGGGGATTTAGGTTTAACTCTAAACAGCTGAGCAGCTTTGTATTAAACTATTTACCAGAGAGGAAAATCAATCAACTCACACCACATCAAATTCCACCCCACTTGGTTAGAGTAATAACGAGAGAAAAACATAGTCTTTTAAACACAAAACCAAAATGTATCTTGCATAGGGAGATTGACTTCAAACATTCCCTGGTACAGTCCAGAAAAAAGAAACCAAGCTTCTAAAATTCATAAGGAAACCCCTATATTGAGGAAAAATAGCATAAAGCTTTAAATAACAGATAAGACTACAATCGCCTCATGGGCCCTACAGTACAGTGCACCAAAGGTAATAGTGGCGTGCTGGTTGTCCACAGCTCTATAAGCACCGGTACATAGGTGTCAAGTCCCATGACACCCAGCCAAGGCCTCTCTCTTTGTGCTGGCACGGTCATTTAAAGGATCTCAGTGGAAGTGAGAACCCAACCCACCACTGTCAGCTCAACCAGGCACGAAGGACATGGAAGAGAAAGCCAAGACCGCACATCACCTCTGCAGCCTCAGCCCACACCCTTACCTTGGCAGGTGTTGTTCTTCTCCTCGTACCCTGCCTTGCACAAGCACTTCCCAATGGGCACCAGCCATTCCCCCTCAGCGCTGCAGTGCATCTTCGGTGCCTCCTCAGTCACTGAGTGGTTGACACAGACGCCCGACACCTCTAGCAGCTGTGAGGAGTCCGCTCCCGTGATGGTGTCAGGGAAGCGGGCCAGGTTGCGGATCACCGATGGGCATTTCTTGTAGTACACGCGCACAGAGACCAGGGCGATGCAGGCACCCACGTCCTGGAAAGCGAGGTAAAATCCCTTTTTTGTTAGGGGTCCAACATCTCTCACCTCTGTGTTTAGCTTCATAACTCTGTCACCGAGGTCTAACTCTGTGAAGCTCTCATCAGCAGCAATGGTATCGATCTTGATGTACTGGTTTTCTTTGATGTTCCTCCCATCTTCATCATCTGATTCGAAGTAATACATGTTAAAAGTCTCTTTGCAAGTCCCAAGTCCTCCCGGAAGGCTGTTACAGTCCCTCAGGGTGAATTTGAGCTCAATGAAGATGCGGGACGCCCCTTCATTAGAGATCCAGCTGGTCAGAAGCCAGTTGTTCTGATTCTGTTCCATTACCTTGCATACTTGGTATGTGTGTATTGGAGCATAGTTTTCATCCACCTCACCAATTTCTTCCCACTGTATAAAAAGGAAAAGTATTGCTTTTAAAAAAAGTTACAGGTCCTGCAAAATCGTAGCTTTCCTATCGAAAAGCAACTTGGGCTTCAGAAATTCAGGAGGACTTTTAGGGGGGAAAAAATGTTTTAAATTGCAAAATTTTCCATACTGGAGGCTTGATACAATTCTGAAAAGTCAGATAAAAGACCCTTTAGAAATATAAAAGGATGCTAGTTAAAACCTTTCGTTTCAGACATTTCAGAAGTGGGAAAACATACTGTTGGGTTTGTCCACTAGTACTTTGCTAGGGAACAAAACAAAAGCAGATGGGGCCATGAGTTGGCCTTTTCCAATGCATCCACATAACAGAAAAAAAAGCTATTTACAGTCTGTCTGTCCCTGCTCCCCCAGGCTCCTTTCTACCACATCCTCAAATCTCTGTCGAATGCAATGACGATGACCACATTTCTCCAAGCTATTTTCCCCCACCAAACAGCCTGCCAGAAAATCAGCAGAGTGATATATGGAGTAAATGAGCTTTGCTCTCCTGAAATGTGCTAATTAGAGGAGTTCCTGCTCATGCATTGGAAGATACTTCCAATAAGGGTTACAGGGATCTGCAAATCTTAAGCTGTTTGTGTGTTATACAGGTTTTTAAGCAGAGCTCCAGATAACTTTGTGCAGGTGTTTGTGAGAATTGTAGCAACTGCTTTTTCATTTTATTTTGGCCACGCTCTGAAGTGCCTCACTTGGAAGAAATGCTTTTTCCTGATCCAACACAGCACAGTCAGTAGCACAGCAATAGCGCCTACGGTAGAGACACAACATTAATGTCTCCTCTCTGCTTTTGAGAACTGTAGTGTCACATTAAGAGACTAGATTAACCCACGTAAGTACAGCAAAGAACTCGGGACAACCAGTGATGGTTTCAGTTTTGTTCTCTTCTGCTTTTGACCTGCTTATCTGCAAGGGCTTAACTCCCAAAGCCTCTTCCATCCTCTGCTCAGCATTGCTGCCCGCATCTAGTCACAGCTGCGGATGCAGCATAAAGCAAACGCACAGAGCTTAATTTAAAGGCACTTCAACACAAGGTAATAGCTACGTTCCAAGCTGTATACCTTCTAAGGCCAATGGCCAGGTTTTTTCATTGAAAATACAGCCTGAGATGAATTCAAGAGCCTTCTCAATCCAGATGCCATTACTGCAGAGCTGACAGGGAACACCTTCAGAGCCAACATAACCATACAGTGTTTTCAAGGGAAATGCTGTTCTCAGATTTTTAAATTAAAATGGCAGCAACAAGTGGCATGAAAACATCCCCTGATGCTACAATCCAAAATGAGTTGTAACTACCACCACGATGAAAGCATTTCCTCTCCTTTCGGACCTGGGATGTGAAAGTGGGGACTTCTGCAATTTCAGCAAGACATGCCTGCTGCGGTGCACAGCGTTCACATGTACCACCAGTCTTCCGAATGAGGAACCTAACCTGAGGACATTTTTGTCATGCTAAGCAGTATTTTCATTTCTAAACCCTTTTTATGTCCCTGGGCTTAAACAGGCCGTGATCCTACCATGATTAACATGTACTTGTCACTTCACCCTTCCTGGTAGCGCCACAGAGATAGGTGGAGATATGCCTGCAGCAAAAGCTAGGCAGATCTGTACAGGATTCATGTCTAACTTTGAGGAGAGGCAATCAATAATTATGAAGAGTAGAACCATTGAGAAAACACAGGAAAAGTATGCAAGATAGAACAAATCTGCAGCTAGCTTCTCCATGTTCCAGTAAATAGGATGGGTTTAGATACATGAAATCAAAAAGCAGAAAAGCACTATTCTTCAACTACTGTGGTTAAGTGCTAAATATGCTGTACATATATGCTTCCAAGTGTATTTTTTTACCATGACACTATATAAGTGCAAAGTCTTATTTTTATCACAGTGGCAATTTTCCATTTGATGAAAAGGGATGGTACCCCTCCACTCCCGCCAACTCAGGCAGAGGTCCCTGCCAAACCAGCCCAGGGGACAGGTGAGCACACCCCAATATAGCCCAGGAAAGACCTTAATGACTTTAAAACCTTTGCTTTTTCTGCCTGAAGGTCAGAGGATCACTCAGACAATCACACACATCTCCGTTTGTGCCGGTTTAAGTGTTAACCTCCAGCAGGAGGTGGTGAAAAGCATTTGAGAGGGCTGGAAATTGCTCACACCAGTTTTCGCAAGCGGGGAGGTGTGTGGATGGCCACAAGGTACACAGCGTAACTCCATACAACATGTAGGGAGCATCTAATGTGTATTTCTCTCAGAAAACTGATGTTTGCAGTGACTGTGATGTTGCAATAATATCATTAGTGACCTAACTCGAAGGCGTATTGAAAAACATTACTTCTCTTTTTTAATACTTGCCAGATAACTTTCAAAGACCCAACCATCATGCTCTCCAGAGTTACAAAATTAAGCTCATTTCCATTGCTGCTCCAGGAGTTGTATTAGTGGGATTGAGTATAAGAAAGCTCATTCATTCAAAAACTAAATCCAGTGATTCTAATGGTTGCTTTCATGCACGGAGGGGACTAAACACCATGAGGAAGAAGGTCCAAGCATAAATACATCAGCTGCAAGAAATGGCATAGCACTTAACATCTCAGGCTTCAGGATGTGCTGCCTTTCCAGCACCACACCCCAGATCAGAGCAAGTCCTGCCATCACCACCTGCCATCAAACCCAAAGCAATCACCAGAGAGCAAGAGGAAAGGGAGGTGCTAATGAGCTAAGGCTGCTTATCTCTGTATAATCCTCAAGGGAAAGCCAACCAGATTTTATCAGAGCAGCCACTATTGTGCACAATCTCTGCTGTCATTTAATCCTTTCTTCTCTCCTATCTGCATGTAGGAGTGCACCATTTCTTTCTCTTCAGCCGGGTCTGTTCCCCCCAGAGACCCCAGGCAGCCTGCCGCCCTTCTGCTTTGCCATCCCTCCACGAGATGGGGATGGGGGTGAGAGCCCCTGCACCTTCTGCCTGGTCCCAGCTTCCCAGTCACTACAGATCTCAAGACAAGTATTTCAACCGACTCAGGATTACAAACTACAGGATGAAAAGCCGTGCCTTACAGTTAATGAAAAAGAAGACTCGCCACATTAAAGAGACAGCATCTAGCTGAAAATATTGGCATGAAAACAAATTAAGTACAACTGAAAAATTGTGTAATATTATAATTCCTCTCTGCAGCACATATTTTTGAGATATAAATCAACCCCATCTGCAGGATTAAAACAAAAATGCAACCATTAATTTGGTGCTAAATGTTTTCTCTACATCTTTAATAGCCCTAAGAAGGAAAACACAAATGCATTTCAATGGCCTGATGTTAAATCATTTATAGAAGACCTATTTCTGAATCAGAAATTTCCAGTACAGTACTGCTGGCAAGTTAACAGAAGCTCAAGACTGCATTCAGCACCATCAATAGGAAGCATGCAATTCATGCAGGCTGTCTGCCTATGGAAAGGCCAGAGATACCACACATCTAACTAAAAATATAAGAGCTAAAAAAGCATTCAGTGGCAGGGTCTTGGGTTAAACGGACAATTTTAAAACATATTCACCAGCTGTCTGCTACTGAGGCTTGTTTCTAATCTCCAGGATTCCAGGATTGCAATTTGCCACCACAGCACAGTAAAAGGCTGCTGCCCCAAAAACAAATACTGACAGCGGGGATGAAAATTTCAGAGCTTTTGTTTATTTGGTTTCGGCTTGGTTTTTTGTGTTTTTTTTTCTTTTTTTTTTTTGCAAGGAGAAATTTTGTTACTGGTCTTCACTCTCTTTAGCAGCCACTAAAGGTGGTGTGGAAATTTCAAGCCTCTTTCCGCACATCCTAGCACTGCTGAAAGAGAAATTAGGCATTTAGTAAAATCCTGGTTGTCTTAAGAGGGGAAGGGAACTTAAGAGCATTATGCAAAGAGGTTCCTATACTTACCTGGAACCTTCCCAGCAGGACTCCTCCTTCCAAGGACTGTGCAACCAGCCTCTATTCTCACTGCCTATTTCACAGGCTCCCTGGTACAAGAACCCTCATCCTCTCCCATTTCATTTTCCACCCCACCACGTGGAGCTCTGCAACATGTGCATGTTAATTCAAGTTATCTGCTGGCACAAAGATGTAAAATTGGAAAAGGATTTATACATTTTCACAGGCTTTTTTTTTTTTTTTGGAGAAAGGCAAGCCGGGCACAGATCTCCTATCCCAGGCTTTGAATGTGTGGAAGGCCTGTGATACCCCACAGGCTTTACCCACAGAGAGAGGAAGGTAATTTTACTCCCAAATCCTGCTGTCAAACCCAGCACAAGCACACACTGGTGCAGAGGAGAGCGCAGCATGGGGCTATGCAAACCCTGTGCCAAGTTAAAAGGGGAGACCTGCTGCCCTTCCAGAAGGGCAGACCAGCCCGGCGTTCAGCTCTGTGCTATTTATCCTGCCTTTCATCCTGGTAATATTTGTGCAGTCTCTTCGATTTCCTTTTATGCAGCTGATGTTAAGACCTGGCTGCCAATCAATAGCCTCCAGCTCAGCTCCCACACACACGCTGCCTCCCGCTACTCAACTTTATCTTGCAACCTGCTCCTTCCCTCCTTTTGCTGCTCTCCTTCCATAACAAAACCCAAAAACTTGGGGTTTGGTTTGGGTTTTTTTGTTGGTTTGTTGGGTTTTTTTCAGCTGCCTGCCGGCTTTCCACCCGCTATCGTATCACAAAGTTAAAGCAAGTAAAAAGCAGGCTCTCCTCTGCGTAGTTTCAATGACTTCAGTGAGGTCACGTAAGGCTGAATCTCTAGTGAAAGCCAGGCAGAGCACTTACACATCTGTTTTATCTGCACTGCAGAAGGTTTTGCAGGGCTGTGCTAGCGGTAAAATAGGGCTGACGGTGTCACCATCTTGCCTGTTGCAAAACACCAATTACAGACATGCCAGTCCCAAAATTCAATTACTTCAAAGCCTGCCACCAATATTGCCAGTTTT